ACCCCCCCGGCTCATCACATCCATCCTGCTGGATAGCAAGTGAGCCCTGAGAAACAGGAGTTCTCCTGACCCTACTGCCTTGGTGCTGGTGCTTAGAAAACAAGGGGTGTCTGTAAATTTCTGCCTCAGGCCTGCTCTGCCGGCTAGTTTCTAGCAGCTGCTTTCCATCTCTTCTCTCAGAAGCAGCTCTGTTAAAATACCTCGGCTGCCTGCTGCTCTATTAACCACACACACGGCATCTTTGCAGCTGCTTCTCTCCCATTCTCCATACTTGTGCTGCAGCTTGACTGGGCCCATCTTCCTTCCTCCCTGCCCCTGCTCCCCCCATCCCTTCCCAGGTCACTAGACAAGTCCCATGGGCTCTCATCCCTCCCCTGGGGAGCTTTTCAGTAGCAGGAATTGGAGGCCATTCCCCTGTATGCCCCAATCAAGATGATTTTATTAAGTATGACCTGGCACCTCTTGGGAATATAGTTAAAGGGCTTTCAAGCTTGTTATCACTTACTACATATTTAAACTCGTGTTTTCATAATACTGGCTGTTGAGGGCAATAGCTACAGAGTGTTTGTTGGAAAAACACAAAACATTAATTCTGGCTTCTTCCAATGAGTAATATTTTTCAGCAGTTACTGTGTCAACAAGCCCCCCATCCCAGCAGCTATTCAACAACGGGACAGTGACTTGCATTATTTTCAGTCCTGCTGACCTTTGTTTCACTTTCAGTGAATGATCTATCCAGCCAGCATCCCAGACAAAAGAGGGCTGATGAGAGCTGCCTAGCGTTACCCAGTGCTAATCTCCCTTGGAAAACATGGAGGCTCCCTCTAGGAAGAAAGCAGACATAATGCTCCAGTAGGCTAGCAAGGCCAGGCTCCACTTGCATAAATTATCAAAGGGCTTTTTATTACAAATGAGGGTTTAAGCTTGTAAAGGAGCCTTGTATGGCCATGCCTGCTGCCTACTCAATCAATTCACACTCCCAAGCATTATTTTTTTTGTCCTTTAAGTTGGATAGTGTATTCTTCACTTTGTCCCAACCTGCTGCACACTGCTGAAGAACAGATGTGTCTTGTCATAAGAGTGGCTGTGTTTCAAAGAAGAGTTTAGCAATTCCCCTGCTAATTACCTGGCCAACTCAGGACGGAAGAGACCAGAATTTAAAAATACAACAGCTCCTTTTGCCGACTACTACAGCTGGATTTTGCAAGGAGACCGCTATTTCATATGTGAGAGAACTGTGGAGCACAAGAGATCTACTGTGGCAGAGACTGGCTGAGAAGTCAGTGGCCCAACATTTTACTGGGCACCCAGAACTGAGATTGCAAATGCCCTGCTTTCAAAAGCCTTCTCCTGATGCGGAGACTTGGGGTCCAAGTGCCTAAACCACCTTTTTAAAAAAACTAGGACTTGGCCAGGGCAAAAAGCTTTCTGAAATGCCCAATCAGTCACTTGATCACAGCTAGAGCTAGAGAAGATCTATCAGAGAAAGCAGTGGCATGATTCTGTCTGGCAACAGGGAACATCTTACCAAGCTTTGAGAAACAAGAAGTCAGGCACCAAAGATTCACTGGTTTGTACGAGTCCCACCAGTTTTCCCTCACGGTAGACCCTGACTATGTAGGACACTGCCTGATACCTACAGTATACTGAGCGGCATGGGTTTCCAAGGAGCTCTCCTCCTATTCTCACTGTACCCATCTTTTTCTGCTTGCTAGTTAAGATTTTTTTCAATGATTTATTCATTCTGCCATCAAAACACCGGGGATCCTTTCCCCCTCATCTGACTCCCTATTTAGCATGCCAAGGGCTATGAGAAGCACATCCAAGTAGAATTACCTGGCCAACCCTTTATTTCTTCCTCTGTAGGCATCCATGAGATCAGGGTGGGTTAAAAGCCAGGCACTGCAATCTTCCACAGCCACCTTAACTACCACCTCACTTTGGTAGCATCAGCAAAAAATGGGGCTGCATAAATATCCTGGGCACCTACCAGGAGGACATAGCTTGAAAGCATCCCTGCTGATGTAACAAAACTAGAGGGCACCCCAAACCTAAGCCTCCTGCATCGAACAATGATCATATAGTAGAGATGCCCTGTGTCAGATGAGTGGGGCAAAGCTGGTCCACAAGCCAAATGAATGGTGTAAGGCCTGCCCCATGGGCCAGACTGGGTCCATAGACTGTCCTCCACCCTGCATGCTGGACCCAGCGCACATGGCACCTGCTTTGGATGGTCCGGGAGTGTGCTGCACACAGGACCTGTGTGGCACTGGTCTGAACACAAGCAGCATGTGGCACCTGCTCCAGGGCCTGGGCTGCATGTGGTACCTGCCCTAGACCTGTCAGGGCAAGTGCCACGTGCAGTGGGGATCCTGGATCTGCTGCCATATGTGGCTCATGTCTTGGACCAGCCAGAGAGGGCACAGCATGGGTTCTGGGCCAGCTAAAGAGGGCACCGTGTGGTGCACATGTGGGGTCTTGTGTGGGGGGGTTGGTCCAGCATATGCAGAGTGTGGGTCCACACTCAGGGACAGCACCAGGGGCCAGATGATGGGCCCTTACATTAACACCCCTGCCTTATAACAATGCCTTCCAGCAATAACATTATAGACTGAGCCCCAGGTCTCCGGTTGCTTCCATTTGTGCAGCTTAATAAAAATCTGGTAGAATTTTGCTAGATCAAGTACTGTTCTTTTAATTCTAACATTAAAAATTAATTGGGCTGGTGTGTTAAGAGTGCAGACTCAGTCCCAGCCCTCCTGGAATCTCACAAGCTTGGGAGACTCCAACTTAAACCCAGGGAACAAGCCCAGTTTAGACTGGAAACCAGCTGGGAGCCTACCCATTAAGGCCGATTCTGGTCCAGAAATGTAGATCCAACCCAGGGATTCAGTTCTAGTCCCATTACCTAATGCAGAGACACACAATGTATAACTGCTTGTCAGGTCACAAGCTGCACAAGGAATTAAACAAGTGCTCTCCTCCCCTCTAGGGGAAGGATCAGCTCGCCTCTTAAATCTACACATCCTTCTCTCTACATCTCTCCTATAAAACAAGTACTCTGATACTGAAGTGGCTCTCCCACCTGGCTACAGGGTAACTGGAAGCTAATGCTCCACCCTACAATTTCTCCCAGCTTCTGGTTCTAATGCATTCATCATGACTGCAGCATAAAACAAAATAGAAAAGTCACTGAAAAATGTTAAAGAACAAAACAGCAAGAAAACAAAACTGCATGCCCTCAGAAATTCTGCGCACAGTTGTTTTGCCTGGGCATGCAAAGTTACAAGTGTTAACACATGAGCTGGGCTGGGATCCGAGACACAGTTTGACCCCAACACTTTTTATGTTAAGAGCTCTCCTGGGTCTCCACCCCTCACCAACACCACACAAACAGAGCTCTAAATTAAGCTGCACTGCTGAAAGGCAATTTGTAGTATCCAACTGTCCACGTTCCTATGTGAGAGTGCATTTCTAGACAACAAGAAAAGGGTGCGTGTTAGCAGCTTTCGAAAAGTTGTGAGACACTTGGCCTGAAACATGCTCCCAGTACATACATCTCAGCTCCTCTTTGCTATGGTTCGAATACTAGGCTTCTATCTGGGGCCAAATCTGACAAAACAGGTGCATACAGTGCACAGAGAATGAACCCATGGGCAGGAGCAGAAAAGAAATAATTCAAAACCCATATTTTGCTGCATGCTCTCTGTAACCCCTTTGCCTTCTTCTCAACTATATGGCCGCATGCATGTGCCTTCCTAAGAGAAAAACCCCAGTCTATGAAGTGTTGAGCCCAGA